GACTCCGGGACTAGCCGTGGCAGAGCATCCCAAGACTCTGGTGGCAGCCGTGGCAGAAAAACCCAAGACTCCCATGGCAGCCGTGGCAGAAAAACCCAAGAGGGCACCAGGAACACCACACAAACCCGAGCCAGGGGCAGCACACACACGGCCAGAACGAACAATACTCACAAGACCCAAATGACTCATGGCACCGTGCTCACTGGAAAGTCCGCGCTCACCGTCCGCACCGCCATCACTGCGCGAACGCAGATGACCAGCGGGACGCAGGCTACCGTGTTGTCGCGGATCACGTCTTTGGTCAGCTTGAAGGAGTCCGAAGACTGGTTTGACGGTGGAGACTGGCACCTTTTCATTCCTTTTCCCCATCGGTTTGGGCTTTTGAAGGCACGGAAGAGGTTCATTTTTGGTGGGATGGGGCAGCCTTCCTTTGCTTTTTGAGTCCAGTGCTTTTGATGACGTGCCCAGCGGATCCAGTTACCACTATAGCCTAATAGCTGGTAACCAGTGGTTCCAAAGACTAAAACCATAGACCGAACGAATCCCTGGTTCCTTAGTACTCCTGGTAACTGGGATCCACTGGGCATGATACTTTCTTCTATTTTTTTCCAGACAAAAGGCTAGTGGACCTTCCCAGATCGCGCTTCCCTCAGTCGATCCACCGATCGGGCACCGGGGCGCGTGACCGCGGACTGGCATGGGACCCTGGCGGGACTGGTGGTGCTGGTGGTTGCGTCCGACCTTTTCTCTACCCAGCCTACTCTCTTCCAGTGTAGGTCAGGAAGTCGCTGCACACCCGGACATGTCGGACCGAATATCCGGCTGTTGGAACATGCTTGCTTCCAATGGAATTGGTGCACAAGAGGTAGAGCTGTCATGAGCTGTTTGCAGAGGCTGTCCTTTCCCGGAAGCAGTTCGGAGTTTGAATCCTATCAAACACTTGCTTTGGGTAATTCTGAAAAGCCCTTTCAGGTTCTCGGTTGCGTTTATTTTTTCTTTTTGCGTGTTTGACTTCGACATCTTTGTTGGATGTTGTTCGACATCGTTTTGCGTCGTTTTTTGCACTCGCCACACCCCCGTCCGCCCCGCTATCAGCGCGAGGACTCGGATACCTTTCAACACCACTTCGCCGCCAACAGCAATCTACGCGAGACCATCGCACAGCGCCGAGGCCTGCGCGCACCGGCGGAGAGCGACGACGAGGAGGAGGAGGAGGAGAAGTCGACCTCCGTTCCGAAGGCCAGCGGCGGCCGCTCTGCGTCTTGGTTGGGGGACAGCTGCGGCAGCGGTTCCTTTTTTGCAGCAAGGTCTTTGGGTCATGATGCCTTCTGCAGAATGAGGCCAACCCTTCTGCAGACGACCAGTGGTTTTTTTTTCCCTCCATGGGACCCGAAGACCCTGCGACCAAAACTTCCGAAGACCCACCGAGTGGGGACTGAGTGGGGATGCAATAGTACTCCAGCAAACCGATGAAGAGTTGGATCTTCGGTGTGGCTCGAATCGATGACGTGGGTCGCTGCGACGCGGGTCGGAGGGACTGAGCGACTGAAGGGACTTGGGTCTCCTGTCAGACGTTGATGTGGAGGATCCATCAAGTAGCAATATTCGGATATATTCGGAGTACTTCCACATTCATTCTACTTGAGGTAAACCTCTTTGACCGAAGAAAAGCCACAGGAACTGTTTTTTTTCGGGGTACCAACAGTGCACTGTGTGCAGATGCGCAGAACGACCACGGCCCGTGCCGGACCGTGCAGGATTTGCGATTTCCCTTGCTCTTGTGCGTGATGTGTTGCTTCAACAACACGGGGAGCTATGTCATTGAGTTCGGGACTTTTGCAATCTTCTTCAAGGACCAGAGTGAACGCATGTGTTGCTTGAACGCTGCACGCCTCAAACACATGAGGGAGGCTGTGAAAAACCTGCCACTCAAACACCTTGAAGCATCCCGAATAAGTATTTGGGCTTGATTAGTTGAATGGATCAAGAAGCACCTTAGAAATCACCCACCCCGACTACTGCACACCGGTGGCACCAGCATCCCAGCCATCTCGACCTGCGCCAAAACGCTGCATGTCGAGGACTATCATGGCTGGGAGTCTGCGACCTGGGCGAGCCTGGCGCAGACGGCAGGAGATTTGGTGGCTGCAGTGATGATGAAGGTCCTCAGGAGCGATGTGGAGGAGGAGCCACCGTTCCACGCGTTCCAACACACGCGCGTGAACGCGTTGGGGGGCAGTGGGGGAAGTGGCTGGCATGGCTCTTTTGATGTTTGGACCCTGGGATTGATCCAAGGGTCTTTTTCTAGACCCCCAAATAGAGAGAAGTTCGATTGCCCACTAAAAAGGTATTGAACAGCGTGCCACTCTCTATTTGGGGGCTAGGGGGATGTGGGCCAATGTGGGGCCCATGTGAACTGCCCAATCGACCGCCGACGACTCGCGCCTTAACTTTGGGCGACCCCCTTGCGGCCCTTGGTCTCGAAGTGGACGGTGTACGGATTCGTTGGATTCGTTGACGTCGCCTTTTGGATCCCCAATTTGGATGCGTGAGAGTCGACGGATTCGGCCATGTCCGTCGGACGCACATGAGGTCTTGGAGGTCGGCCCTCTCGGTTGGCAGTGCGCGTAGCGTGGGAGGTGGACGGACTCTCACACGGCGTGGTGTGGTCCCCGAACAGATAGATGTGGCGCGCCGAACTGCTTGGTGTGGGAAGGTCTCCAGGTTTTGGTTCTTCTCCAGGTGTTTTTTCTCCTCCTGGGAGTGTTTTGGCTGCCCCACGCGGTGGGGAAGAGCGGGCTTGAAAAGAAGAACCACACGAGCGAGCGACGCATTCGGCGGAGGCCGAGAATGTGAGTTGCCTGCGGCGGATGATTCTGCAGCCCTACAACATCGCCTGTCTTCTCTTCGGCTGGGTGCTCTGCAACTTGGGGATGGTGAGTCCCTTGTTGCCCATCGCAGTGACGGCGCAGATCATCATGGGCACGCTCTATGTCTACACCATCAAGATGACGACGGATCTGAATCTCTTCTATTCCATGGGAGATACAGCGCTCTTTGTGAAACTCCAGGGCTTTTGCAGCTCAGCTTTTATTGTGCTGGTGTGGCTACTGAACGATGAAGATTACGAACCCCTGCTGCTAGCATGGTTTGGGATGCCAAAGGCATGCTGACGAGGCTTTTGTGTTTTTTCATCCGTCACCTCAATTAATTAGCTGAGAAAGACTGATATATAGATGGTGCAAACCCTGAAGGAGAAAGTGATGGTGAGCCAGTAGTAAAGAGTGGCTCACAAAATCAAGACCCTAACATGATTCCGTTGAGATGACAGCAGGCCTTTTTCACCTTCAGGCCACTATAGGCTTCCTTCCTTGAAAACACTGCCACTTCTAACTTCCACCATGAGGGTTGCTCTCTTGTGGGCTATGTTGCTCTCTCTTGCCGGGGTTTTCCGGTTTTTCATTTCTCGAACTCCGGTATGTCGATCTTCGCTGGCGCGATCTTCGCCGGGCGCAGTGATGCCATCCATGCTGCGTGGTGTACACCACACCGCTGTGTCCGAGGCAAAAACGCGGAAGCCCTGGGCGGCGGCATTGCAAGCCTTTTGGCGTCAGAGCGTGTGGTCATATGGGATGCAAATACCCGCAGTGGAAAAGGACACGGACACGGACACGAGAAGGATTGTATCCTTCAATCTTTCAAGTTCTTGACATCTCATCGTTCTCAACATAGATGACTAGCTCTTGCCTTCTTTGGTCAGGGTCTGTGGACAGCAAAGTCTCAATGCTTGTTCGAAGTCTCAAGAACGCACCACGATTTGCCGAACCAGACGTCAGGTGTCTTTCGCCAGCTGAAGCAGATGCGTGGGGTTGGTGTCGAGCGACGGTCGGCTGTCCTCATGATCCAAACTGAAAGGGTCGATGTATGACCTGTTCTTAGTCGAAGTTTTACATGCAAAACCAGGCCCACTGAGGTC